TGTTATTTTTTTTTAAGAATATAGCAAATCTAACCAGGAACTCTACGCGAGTTCAGACACAGTTAGAATGTCTTAAATGGCTAGCGAGCTAAGAGGTCAAGACAAAGCTGAAAATTAGCAAAATGGATGCTAAGACAGCTAGAATCGGTCCTGTATCACTCAATCACAGTAGTGAAATACAATTATTGCTGATGTTTTTTTTGTTTGTTTTTTTGGCTAATTAATTTGATATGAATAAATTGCATAGACTATAGAATATGCAGCTAGGCTACTGTAGTACACACAACTATCCTCGCTAATAAAAGCAGAAACTTTGTTTTCCATCAATTAAAAAAACACATTTAACACAGGCAACAAAAATCCCCTAATTTTTCATGAGCTTAGCTCGAAATACCTTATGTTGCTGACATACAAAAAAAACAGCTCAGGTTTGTTTCACTTTTGTCAGCGTTTGGTGTTTGCTTTGAAGTGACTGCGGCTAGATCAGTGTGTGGGGGGTTCGGAAGAAGGTATAAATGAAGTTGATATACATTGTGTCAGCGATGTTGCATTTCTAAAGGCCTGTTGAGACACCTCCCTGTCTGAACACGCAGTGGTGTTTTTGCAAGAGGAGCAGTCACGGCACAGGAGGTAAAAAAGACAGCTGCTTTTAAGGCAGATTAGCTGAGTCCAACAATCCCGATAAGGAGAAGGGGGAGGGGTAGAGTGATGGACACCTAACACCGTTTGGCCACAGATCACTCTCCAGAGCTCTGCTGGTGTTCGCTTCCCCTTACTTCCTTTTAACACAGCACTGTCCTCTTCACTGTCCTGCATATAATGAAACTCCACTTTTGGCCACCGCTGTGTCATTTTTGAAATCTAAAATACTATCTAGCCTTGTCTAATGAAACCACTGATGTGAAGGTGTCAACACTCAATACAGTTGTTATTGGGTGTTTCCGCCAATAAGTATGATCATGATCTCCAGCTCATCAAAGACCTGGGGTTTTAAAGCGGGAATAATCATTGCACCAACCAAAGGCCAAAGCCTTGTTTGTTCATCGATTTGAGGCAATTTTGGGGTCTTCCTGTTTTCTAAAGAGATGTACAAGTGGTCTGTTATCTGCACAATGCCTTCTTTGAGCCACCCAGGACTCAAGCCCTCGGCCCCGACTGAATGCTCCACAAGTGAGACATGGCTGTTAGAGGATTATCCAGATGTACAACATTGTTGAGAAGGAACTTCTCGTTCTCTAAATTGACTTTGAACACCCAAAGAAGATACAAGTTTTTTTTCTTCAATATAATACATGTAGCTTAAAAGATTTTCACAGCACTGTATATTGGTGTATTGGTTACAACTGAGTATTTTGGATCTTTATTTTTTTATTTATCAGGTTAAGAAACTCTGCTGCATGGACTCTATTAAATGATTTTTAAGCTGTGCATGGACTTTATTAAATGGTTTTTAAGCTGCCGCAGGCCATACAAGATGACTTGGCGGGCCGCATTTGGCCCCCAGTCCTTGAGTTTGACATGTGTTTTAGAATGATGATTAGCCCTATTGGTTTCTGTTGTCCTTGTCCAATATCCTCTCAAACAGGAAGCGCCCTAATGCAAGGTCAGACACACTACAAAGATATTGAACTGCCACCAATCAAGCTGGAAGTCAACTCAGCATACCTGGCAGTACTGAGTCACCGATTTAGATTGCAGTGTGCACTGTTGTGCAAACAAATGCAAGCAATGAAACAAACAAAAAAAAAAAAAAACAAAACAGAAAAATATACCTGGTAGTAAAATGTCGTGTTGCTAAGTAAAAGTAAAAAGTAAACGGCAGGAATTTTTGGACCTAAAACTTGCAGCTATTCCTCAAAACAGTTCCGTCAGCTTTGATGTGACCGGTTTCCTCCCTGTTCCTGAGCCAGCAGAGTGTGTGGGTCACATGGGTTGATGGCAGCAGAACAGAGCCATCAAAGCCTCACTCTTACTTATTCCTGAGATATGAAATGAGAGACAGAAGGTCAGCCAACCTCCCTCATGAGACCCCCCCTCCCCAGTCCCTGTTTCAGCTGCAGGAAACTCATACCCTCACCCTCCGAGTCCACATCTCTGTAACCTGATCCCAACCAGCAGGGCCCCCTATGGTCATTGTGACTTAATGCTACAGATAAAACTTCAAACCAAACCAGTGTCTTTACCCTCACAGACAACGGTGTTATAAAGACATAACCCGAATTACTACTGTAAACACAGTATAAGTCAAATGAAAACTCTATTTTTTTCGTGCCAGAATACAATACATTTTAAACATTTGCAAATTCGGTATTAATACAACAATAACTACAACCAGATTTGTGACAAAGAGGAACATGTGTTTGAACTAGAGATGGCTCGACGCAATACTTTCAGTCTGAAATTTGTCAAAAAATCTCAGGATCGAATGTAGAACTACGATACGATACCTAAGCCCAAATAATCAACTGAACTTTCCAAGTTGCAGTATCAGTATCGGACATAAAAAAAAGTTGTATCAAGCCATCCTGAGGTTTGAACCCATGTTCGATTTGGCCTGACGGAAAACTAGTAGTTGCAGAAACTGTCTGACTAGGACAAAGGGCTTTAGGATCCTGCAACTCCTGTGATGGCTTCCAGGGATGTCAGTCATTTTCACATTTAAATTTAAATTATATGAAATGTATGGTTGTGAAACATTGGCCAGACAACTGAGTCAAAGCTCTACATTTTTGGAACGCGTACAAAGAGAGCCCACGCAGGCAGGAAACATGTTCAAACCAAGATGTATACATTTTTTAAATCCCAGTGGAAATTTAGAAATCTTTTCACTTCAAAGGTCAAAAATCATCCTGTCTTAACCAGGGGGTATCAGTATTCTGACACCATTGCATTTGCTGGTATCTGTCCACAGTGATAGTGCTCAGGTAATAGGTCTTATATACACTTACATAAGTTACTTACGTAAATCTTTTCACTTCAAAGGTCAAAAATTATCCTGTCTTAGGTAATAGGTCTTAAATACACTTACATAAGTTACTTACGCAGGTCTTAATAGGTCATAATCTTACATACCAGGTCTTTTCAGAGAAAACTAAGAAGTGTAGATAACCTCTATCTACCATCTTTCTCCTACTTGTGGGAGATAAAATGAGAGCAAGGCGCTGTTTTGATTTTCAGAGTTGAAGGGTGGCTGAGGGGGTCAGGAGGGTTAACAGCATTTGCACACACCTGCTGTTTTATAATGAAGAGGATTAGGCTGCGATCACATGAGCCTGTATGGTTCAGGGCCACCCTGGCACTCCCAGCTACAGTAACCTTTCAACCGAACACGACCAGATGTCGTTGACATGGTTTCTATCCCTTTGTAGAAACACGCAGGAAAATGAGCTCCACAGCAGGATTGGACACAGAAGTTTAAAAAAATATCATAGGGGACACATGTTGCGTTGCTAAGAGTAGAACCTCCTCAGATATTAGCTTGAGATGATAAGAAAACGACTCACACTTCTTCTTCAGTTTTCTAAACATACCTAATATCAGTTTGGAAGAATTTGTACTTCCTGTGAATATTTCCAGTGACGGAATCAACCAAAAACACACCAGAGAATCTGTCCACACAGACTTAGTTTGGTGTGATTGAATGGAACCCTTTAGGCTGTCATTTTAAGGTGTGTGATTAGACAGGGTTAAACGCAGGACATTGGAATAATGTTACCTCTTTTTGACAGACAAAGATAATTGTATGCTACATTTAGGGAGAAAATGAATCATCTTCAGCCCTTCATAGGTGGTCTCCAAAGCAGAGTTTGAGTAATGATATGGTACAGTTTTTACACAAGGAGGGTGAGGAGGAATCAAACAGAACCTTCTGTATCAAGAATCCCACCACTGTGCCACTCTAGCCCACGATTCTATGAAATATTAAATAGTAGAAATGATTCTAAGATATAGAAAAGAAGAGTAAACACAGTGAAAAAGCCTTCTTCACTCCATTATAATAAAAAAAAATTAATAGAAAAAAAAACTACAACCCCCCTCCCCTTAAAAAAAAACTACAATGTGCAAATGTCTCTCGCTTCAACAGACCTACAGTAAGTCAATGCATTTTAGAGCACCACGTTAAACAAGAAGAGGTTAGTGTGTATTTGCACAAACGGTTGCATTGACACTGAACTTAACCCATATTTTCCCACCTTCAGGCCATACTGTATATGCCAACAGATCTGAGGTTAGCATCAGTCGCACCAGGCGATACCTATTCAGCCTCCTCTGCAAAAATCAGGTCTAGCTGCATTAAGTCATCACAGCCATGTGTTGGAACGTGTCCTGACTTCTGACAAAAAGAAAAAAAAGATTAAAAAAAAAATGTGCGCCTCGATTTAAGTTATAGTTTAAGCATGTCATGTTGGTTCCTGCTAGAATGAGCCTTGGTTTATTTTGTTTATAAAAATAACTAAGGACATTTGTTTTGATTTGAACACACTATTATACTTAACCCATTCCAAATGGCCACATGTGGTCTATGATCGAGGTTCTTTTACAGGCTAGTCCGATGACGACATTAACAAAGCGCTCAACATGCCACCCAACACCGGTTCTGGAGAAGTCATGTTCATCTTTGGGGAGACTGTTTGCAAAACACTCATGTGAACTTGCCCTTATCGATGGCAGTCCAATCTCATCCACACGGTATGTGTGGACAGGATATCATGTAAGCTACCCTCAAGTCACTCAACGGCAGCTTTGAGATGTATAAGTCTGTCTTTTGTATTGATGCCAAGAAGGCCAATTAGCTTGAAAGATTATTCCATCATCCTGACTCTGCAAAAGGATTCTGCAGTTAGCCCTAGAATCAGTAGCGATATGGCACAAAAAAAAAATTACTTTGAGTTAGTTTATCATGACTCGAGTCTTGGTTGATCCATTCATGGACACCTTGTTGAGGGAACTAGTGTCAAGATAGCATTTCAAGTTGTTAATTAAGTTTGTCAAGATAGCATTTCAAGTTGTTAATCAGTCTTTTTTTTGAACAGTTCTTGCATTAAAGTCCGATGATGTTAATCTCACACCTAGAGTTCTCCCACATTTGAACATCCTTGAGTTTTTGAGTGATGGTTCTACACATGTGGCTGCTGTAGACAGTTGCGTTGGTGTACAGGAGGATGTCTTCCAACAAAAATGGTCCGGGGGTTTTATCCAATGCCCTTCCAGTCTACATGTGGCAAAAATGTCACATAAATGCACTGTGAATGGTCAGCATGAGTCAATCACAAAAGCATTTACATTACACTGGAAGACCTCCTAACAAAACACTTGGCGCTGTCATGGATCAAAACATGAGCATCTATAGTATCAACTAGCAATCTACATGTTAGCAAAACCCAAGGGTTGGTAAATATCAACCTTGAAGTTGTGGAAAGTATGATCATTGTCTGAAAGAGGGCATTCACACGTACAGTACATCAAACTTCAGTGTCTGCCATGGCTGATTTCTTGCAGCAATAATTGCTCATGCCAAAGGAGCATATTCGCCAATTTTTCCATAAGCTCTGTTGAACAGTGTCTGAACGATGAAGTATTTGTGCATTGACACTGCCAAATACAAGACCTTAGAGGTGTGTTTGTACTGCAGGAATATGTACCAAAAATCTAGCAAGAAGTACCAAGAACTATATGCAAAGAACATTGGGAAAAGCAAGTATTAGGACTGTTTTAAAGCCTCAAAGTTGTATTTTCTTTGAAAGTGGGTTGACTGGAAGTATGTGGATCATCAGAGTTGTTGTTTCTAGATTTTTGTTAGACTTGAAGGGTCTAGAGTAGGTGAACAATCTAGCCTCTGTGGACTACCTAAGGTGCCTTTGGGGTATGTTCTAAAAATGGGTCAAAGATGGTGCTATTTCTTTTCTTTTTTTGAATCAGTTACACCTGCAATGGTACTTTTGTATGTTCCAGAACTTGATGGTACAGCCTTAGTTTAGCATAGCTCGCCGGATCTGATACCACCAGTTAACTTAGCATGACATACCAGGACACTATCTCCTCAGCAACTGCAGCTTGCAGTATGTAACAGATTTATATCTGTATCAGCAGAGACTTCAAGGTGCAGTATCGGTGTTGGTAGCAGAGACATCCCTAGTTAAGAATTTTACTCTAAACTAGACGACTTTAAAATGACTCTGAAGGCTTATAAAAAGCCCCATAGTGGAACATCCTGAAGGCACATATTTAAAGCCAGTTTTCCATTTTCTACTTTTTTAAGACTTGTGAGCAACCAAATAATGTCAAATAAAAACACTATTAATAGACAGTCTCATATGAAAGTCTAGGTATTTGAAGGAGGACATCCAGTAAGACCTGGAGACAGCAATCAGCATGAACATACCATTGTATTAAAGAGCAAAACTGCAAGATGAGAAAACTGCTAAACCTTTGGTGTACTTTTGGGTGAAACAGACACGTAAAAAAAAAAAGACCCGGACAAAAGATTCCTGCAACTGTAAAATCAAAACGCATTATTATTTCTAAAACTCATTGTGAACAGACACAAACTGGGGTTCTACAATCCTCCATACCATTGTACGTGTGTATGCCCCCTGAAGATTTAACCAACACATGATTTTGGAAAGTGAGTGTGGAGTGTTGGTAGAGTATCCACCTTGACAACTGCACACTGAGTGTCTTCGAAGGATAACTTTTAAAAGAGTGGATGAGAAGATGTGGGTAACTGAAATCCAGTTCAAACCTTAGACCCAGTCCTGCAGCGAGCGCTTGCAGTGCACCAACAGTCGTGGGGCTCCCTTGCTCTGCAGTGTGTTGATGATGGCGTAAATCAGTCCCAGAATGCACAGCACCAAGACCAAAGGGATAGTGACCATCAAAATGTTCATGGTCCGCTCCTCGCTGTCATCCACCTTCAACACAACATCCACCTCGTTGGTGTCCTCCTCTCGACCCTCGCGCTCCTTTTCTTCTTGGTCGTCGTCCGATCCTGTGTTCTCATCGGTCCCTTTCGTGCCGTCCGTTCCGCCCCCGCCCTTGCCCTGCCCATCATCATGTCCCGGGTCAGGGTTAAACGGTGGACGGTTCACATCAGGGTATTTGCGTCCTGGGTCCGTGTCTGGGTCTTTGTCTGGGTCCAGGTCCAAGCTACAACCCATGAAGTCTCTGAGGATGGACTTGGGGTAGCCCGGTTCACTCTTCATGCGGTGGTTGTCAAATTTCCAGTATTTGGAGCCTTTGTAGAAGAAGGTGTAGGCTGGAGGGGAACATGTTTCAGTGTTAGGCCATGGTCAGAAAATGGATAGATACATGGATGGATGGATGGATGGATGGATAGATGGATAGATGGATGGATGGATGGATAGATAGATAGATAGATAGATAGATAAATAGATGGATAGATCGATACATGGATACATGGATAGATAGATAGATAGATAGATAAATAGATGGATAGATGGATACATGGATACATGGATAGATAGATAGATAGATAGATAAATAGATGGATAGATCGATACATGGATACATGGATAGATAGATAGATAGATAGATAGACTTTAAGTGTATGTTAAACATGGGTAAAAAGAAGCTGTTAACCACACAAATACAAGAACACACAAAGTTCACCTCCGTCATCACTTAGGAATGCCCCCTTTGGTGAAGATGGGACTGATGATCCCCAGATACTGATAGGTTTGGGATATCCTACGTCAGCCGTGCGAGATTGCTCATTGAAACGCCAGTACCTGCAGGAAAAGGAGATTGTTGTACTTCAGTTTGACTAATTTACTTCATTTAAAAAGAATACAGTCATATTCATTTACTTTTTTCATTGAAAGATACGCACCGTCATCACTTAGGAATGCCCCCTTTGGTGAAGATGGGACTGATGATCCCCAGATACTGATAGGTTTGGGATATCCTACGTCAGCCGTGCGAGATTGCTCATTGAAACGCCAGTACCTGCAGGAAAAGGAGATTGTTGTACTTCAGTTTGACTCATTTACTTCATTTAAAAAGAATACAATCATATTCATTTACTTTTTTTCATTGAAAGATACGCTGTCAATGTTTTAAAACAACAGGTCGTTCAGACTCTGTTACTAACAAGTCTAAAAGAAGTTTAATGAACCTTCAACAATGACTGGCTGATGCTGGCCGACCGGTCCTTGGTACAACGAAGGTTGGGGCTCTATACAGGTGCTCTGTACTATGCTCTATAATGTAATATTAGCACCATGCTTCGAGCCCTGAAGATGGGCAAATAAATCGTTAAATCTAGCAACGAGGCCGAATGAAAACTGGATACTAAGGAGCTGCTCAAAAGTGACATGGAAACTTAATGGCTAGCTTCGTGGGTTGCTGGAAGCGTAGAAGTGATGTGCTTATTTATTTTCCAATTAGGACAGTACGACAACAAGCGTGTGCAAAGCTTTTAAACAAAGTGTTTTCAGGACCTCTTCCCTCTAATTTTGCTGTTTCTTTATAATTGGGAAAATGTATTTTAATTTGAGACGCACCAGTCTCCTTGAAAAATGTAAGTGTAGCCCGATGGCTCCCACCAGATGGCAGTGTCTATTCTGTCATAGGGAATTTCGTGACCATAATGATTCAGCTCCAGTGGATATCCGGGTTCCAAATTAGCTTCCCTGAAAAGCCAGAATTTGTTTCCTGTGGAGACAGAACAGAGAAAAAAAAGTAAGAATCTGTTCTCTGCTCTATTTGGCATAAAGTTCTAGGCCTTCTCAATCAGTTTCTGAACAATTCGCTTGCCCTTACAAAGAGGGATTTTATAAATGAGTTGCTAGCCCACTGCTGCCTCCCATGGCCAGTTTTTGTCACTCGGGTAAACCCGAACAATCCACACGAACACATTTAAACCTCTCGAGTTTGGTATTTGCTATATCTTTCTAACTTGAAATTTCACTCTGCTTGTAAAAAACCGAACAGAAACACTTTACAAGTTTCTAAACAATGAAACAAGTCCACTGAAGTCACTTGTTTGTGAAACACCCAAGCAAATTAACACCGGACACGAAGGAGCAGTAGGCTGCACTTTACTGCTCTCCAGGGGTCTGGGAGTTTTTGGTGCCTGCCAAGCACCACAGCTTTGCTGAAACTGGAATTCTAACTAGAGGTTTGGTAGACACAAGATCACAGGACTTATCCTGTAGCCATTAGACCACAGCCTTCCTCCCACTAGACCAGTGACCATCAACTGGCGGCCTGCCAACCATCCAAACCGGTCTGCAATTGGATTCCGAAATATAAAATCAAATGATTGGTCAAAAATTTGATTTTTGTTTCATTTTATTTGAGCTAATAGCTAAAAGCTAATCTGAAACTAAGAGAATTTCCAGAACAGAAAAATGAAAGAGAAACGCAAAACCTTAAAACATAAAAACTTAAAACTTGCATAACTATAATTTTATAAGTTAAAGGTAGAAAATCAAGGCAGGGACTTTAACAGTACCTGTTGCGGATAATGACCCAGCATGCACTTCTAGACGACCGAGCTTCTCTGATGAGTTGGATTTGTGTCTCCAATTACGGCCATTTATAGACGTTGTAAATAATGGTTAAAAATGCACATAAATGTAACATAAAAAGTCCAGAACCAGGCCTGAAAATTATTAACTTTTTTTAATGATGGACTGTGGGTTAGCCCGTGGTAAATGGATTTGGTTCATTTCCAGGATGAAAGCCTAAAAACAATCACCTTTTGGCAAACTCTTTTTTTGTTTACCATAACATTTGATTGTATTTAAGATAAGTGTTGCAAGTTATGTTGGCTGTATTTTAAATAATATTTGTCAACTATTTCTTGGCCAACGTTTGGTGGTTATTGAAACTATTTTCGACTAACTTTTAGGCATTTTTATTTTATTTTTTACTTATATTAAATAATCTGTTGGCTAACTTAACTAATTCAGGCCAGATACATTTTATCTTTATAGCAACTTTACGAGTTAATTGTTACTATATCTTTTTTATTTAGATGATGTCTGGTAATTTTTGGCAATACTTTTGCTATTTTAGCCCACACATTTTGGTTAACTGTTGGGTGTTTTCTTCTTAATTAACTTGACTCATTTTCTTTGCTAACTTTATGTGATGTTTATTGTACTAATCAGTGTTATTCAGTCAGACAGAGGCTGACATACAGTATTACCATTGAAACCATTACGACAGAGGCTGACATACAGTATTACCATAAGACCTCCCAAATCATGCTGTTTTCTCTGATTAGAAATGAAGCTACCTTCACAACGCTAACATAAGGTCCTACTGTATGATTTTTTTTTTTCTTGAAAATTTCACTGCAGCACCTAAATTCTGCAGTGACCCGGAGGTTTGTCTTGTTTGCAGTACGTCACTGTTGTTTTCCTGTCTCAGAGATTTGTGTGGCTTTTGGTCTTGTTTGGAATAAAAACAGCTGTGCAAGCTGTGGGTTAATAAAACCGCTGCAGGAATAAACCTTGGCCGTTTTACTCTAAAAAATCTAAATATTAGCTCAGTCCTGCTTTCTCGGAGTGCATTTTGTATATTTTCTGTTTACCCCAGCTAAATGGATTGACCCTGACAAATCTAAATAGCTAATATACCAACACATATGATCGACTCTGGGAGTAAAAAAAAAAAGCTTAGAGATTGATTTTTCAAATGTACCTATAATAACCATTATAGCAGAAACTCTGAGGTCTGAAGTTTAGAACAACCTGGTGAATGACGACACAGGCTACTGAATGGGGATAAATTATATCAAAAAATGGGAATCTCCTGAGGATGGACAGATTCATTAAGGAGGATTAGAAGATTTTTTTTTTTTTTAAGAAAACCTCCAGCAGTCAGCGTAAGAACTAAGTATTAGTCACGGTTTGGTCTTCAAATCTGTTGGAAAACATTCTCCAGAAGACTGGTTTAACTGAGTGAATATAAATTCTACTCTCCACAATAAAAAGTAACAATGAAAAAAATAAATACCATAATTACCGGATTATTGAGTATACCTGAATAGCCGCGCCGTCTACATTTAAAAAGAAAAAAATAATTGAACATATATAGGCCGCACTTCTCTATAAGCCACAGGTGTCCACGTTGTAACATGGGATATTTACACAGAAAGATTTTTTTTTCACTTTTAATTAAATAAATATTTTTTTCCGAACCGTGCCTGTTACACGGCTGGTTACACGTTAGCTCTTTTCTGCTTCGGCGCCCTTACCGTAGTTGGAAAGCACAGGGGAGACTTAGGGATCTGCTCCAGGGGTGCAGCTAACATTAGCTCTGGGGCTAGCTCCCTTCACTTTGTGCTCATCCGCAGCAAAGATAAACAGAAACAGGGAAGTTATAAATATACGCACACAGACATTTCACAGACAGACATACACTACTAGCATAACACAAAGTAGCCTACCCGAAAAGTAGGCTACTGTGAACCCTAGCGGTATGAACTTCGTTAGCCCGTAAAAATCCATAAATTAGCCGCATCATTGTTTAAGCCGCAGGGTTCAAAGCGTGTAAAAAAAAAGTAGCGGTTGTAGATTTCGTGTGTGTAGTACTCACAAATACAACACCATACATTTTTAGTACTAGGTTTTAGCTCACTTTATAAACACAATGTATATAACAAACATATTTTTGACTGATTTCTGACATTTTGGAAGAAGCTGAACTTCCCTTGTTGTTTTCGAGCAATTCATTTTATAGTAAACCTGGAGATAGTAAACTTGTGTGGTCTTTAAATTTGAGCCTATTTTTTGTGTTATATCCAATAAAAACATTCAATGTGGCTTTGCCTCTCACAGCTCTTTCCTCCTTTCTCCTCATCTTTCTTTAAGTTATTTTTCTACATTGGGTCATGCTGTGCGACCTGCCAATGACATCATCATTGTTTCCCTTTTTTCTCCTCCTCTTCCCCTCCTTTACCCACAGCTGCTTTAGAGAAGAGGTGCTTTCCCGTACGATTCCTGCTGCGCCGAAAAAAAAGGGGTTCGCTTTGTTTCTTTGTTTGATGAAGCAAAACTTCAGGCGCTGCCGTTAACAATTGCGAGCTGAACTAAAGCTGATTTATACACTGCCTGTGTGCAGTACAACTCATTAAGTGCGTGTGTCCATGCTGTGCTAAAGGAAGCTGTAAATCTCCACTTTTACCTGCAGAGGAGAAATTAAAATCTGCAGCTGCTTCACCTTTAAAATGAGAGACGTGAATCACGAGGAGAGTGAGGCGGGGAAAAACCCTGCAGAGATTAAAATGTGCGGAAATTGTTACATGTTTTTTCTTTGTAAAATACTGGATTCAGAATAGCTCAGGATAAGATGCTGATGGTTTATAAATGCTGTACAACAGCCTTGCAAGAAAAGTTAAAATAAAAGCTAAAATATTTCATTTAAAGCTGAAACTTGAACAATATTTGGCCCAACAATGCTAAAATATTTCATTTAAAGCTGAAACCTGAACAATATTTGGCCCAAGTCCAACAATAAGACAAAATGTATTTGATTAATATTTGTATCACATATTGCTTTTATACACTGTTGTTGTTGTAAAATCAAATGTAATCATTGTAGGTGACAGATGAACAACATTAATCATCTGTTTGGTTCTTTTTCCTAACATCTGAGAGGCTTTAGGTTTTAGTGCTTGATGTCTGTTCCCCTTAAAACCAACCGGGACCAGGACCTAATCTGGTTCCTGCAGCCATACCGAAAGTGAACCACTTGTCATTGTGAAACAGCACACCACTGCACGAAACTCTGTGGTAACTTAACAGTTGGTGGACTCAACCCTGAACCCTTCCGGACCCAAGTCCGCTTCCTTAACCACTAAGCCACCACTGCTCCAACTGTGCATTTTCCCTCTTACCTTTAAAGAAGACAAATCTGCCATCATGTCTCTCATAGGCAGCATCGATGTCTCCTGGTAGACCTCTCCAAAAGTGACCAATGGGCATTGGATAGTTGTCCAGAACTCTGTTCCTGCGAACACGCCAGAACCAGCGGCCCTGAGGCAGGACAAGTAAAATGATAGTAGGGTTACTCCCTTAGATTATTGTTCAGCCACAACTGATACCATGTACAAGGACCTGCTGAAATTAGATTATAGTAGAATAGATTGGATTGGAATCGATTGGATTGGATTGGATTAGAATAGATTAGATTGAACCTTATTGGCTCCACAGTGGGGGAATTGTGGAAATTGGTCATGATAAATTAATAAATACAAAATAAAAAAAGAAGGCAGTGGTGAGGTGGCAAAAGGAGAAGGTAGAACATGGCTCGGGAACCAGATGTGGTTCTAAATCTTAGCTGGCATTTCTTAACACAATAAGTAATAAATAATTTCGCTGGTATTCAATATTGGTCTTTTTTAGAAATTCACACATTTAGTTGTATCCAGAGCAAAAAAATATATATATATAGTATGGCTCTGACAGGAAATACATTTTAAAATATGGTTCCCGACCCCTGGAGTAGAAGATTCCAGTGAGTGGAAGCCATCAATGATGCCGTTCAGAACTTTGTCAATGACAGTAGATAATACCCTACGCATCAGTGCTGTGCAAAACTTTTAGGCAGTTGTATCCATTTTTAACAGTAAATCTTCCTTTTCGCGGCCTTATCTTTTAAGTCAGCGTCATATTTTATCCCGGCTCACAGTGTCGTCTTCGCATCGACTTGTAGATTTAAAGCAATTAAGTCGGGAGCTTTCTGCTCATCCTGGACAATGTCATGGTTGAAATGCTGCGAGTCGCTCCTCTCTCCCTGGCACCAACTCTCTTTCTTTGTCCTTCAGCAATAGCAGCAGCGACAGCGAGGCATTGGCAGGACAGTCCAGACCAGAATGGAGATGAGACAGAATGAACAGTGGACTTTGATTTGTGTGGTCCGACAGCTCATTGAATTAAAGGACTGAAGTGAATGCAGTGGTTTTGTCCTGAGCAAGACCAGAGCAGACGTCAGTGGAGGAGACACTGTACAGCACTGTTCAGTCTGTCTTGTGCGTACATACAGCAGGTCTGCTGTTTGGAATTATGAAAACACACACTGTATATATATATACAGTATATATATGTATATAAAGAGAAGGAATAGAGGCCTGTTCTGACTGCTGCAGATGCACACCTTGTGTGCGATCACACACTGCAGACCGCACATGATAACCCATCTGTTTGCAGGAAATGTTTTAGGGTTTTATATTAGTTTATGAAGAACTGGACAGGAAAAGCAAAGTGTTTTTTTTTTTGGAGGCTGATTGATGATGTCCAGACGGCAGTGAAAGTAACTGGATAGGGCAGACGTCTGTGGCTAAAAATGAAATCCAAGAGCAGAGATAGAAGTGATGGGAGCATGTGCAGCACTCCAATCCAGACAGCAGGAAGGCAGGTTTCATAAAGGACTGGTTAGGAGCAGATATTCGAAACACATCTTTGTCTTTTACACTTTCCGCATCTGTTTCTTTGAGCAAACCTCAAACATATGATTGAGAAAGCAAATTTCAGGTTGGCTGCAAGAATAGATAAAAGCATAGTCTCGCAAGATGTCCTTTAAAATGGTTGCGTTTTTCTATGTCCTAGATCAGGGGTCCCCAACCCCTGGTCCAGGGACTGGTACCAGTACATAGGTCATTTGGTACCGGGGGGCGCAGTGGGACAGAGAGTTACTTCATTCAAAAAGAATCAGACATATAATCTGGTAATGTTTCAAAACAACAGGTCAGTCTGATCTTAACAGAATAAGGTCTAAAGATGTTTGAAAAAATGTTATGATCCTTCAACGATGGCACGGTATTACCAGTCCGCAGTTACGGCTGATACTGGCTGACCGGTCTTTGGTACAAAAAAGGTTGGGGACCACTGTTACCATTGTGTTAGTGTAGCTGAGTGACAGTGTATATGAGACCCGTCGTACATGGCACGTTGTACAGGAACGAAACTTAAGTAAGTCATGCGTCTCTTGTTTTTAATTTTCCAACTATTTGTTTCTTAAAAGAGCAAATTAAGGTAAGAACGAAATAAAGATGGTGGAAGAAATTCAAAACAGAAGAAACTTTCAACGCAGAACGTGCTCGGATGTATTGTTTTCAAAGGCCTTGTCGGTGGTTGAAAAACTAAGGATTCCACTTTAAAACTGTTAGCATTGTTTTTTTGTTTGTTGTTTTTCGATTCAAAGAAAATCAACGTCTGATGATTGTTGTGATAATCACGCAAATATTTAAATCCATGAAGCTGGCAATTTCATGTGACCCTTATCTGCTCCCTCACCTAGTTTCCATCTGTAACTCTTTACTGGTTGTTATAATATAAAAGTCAGAAATACTCTTAAAGTTAATTCAACTAATAGTTAAACACAGCCTTTATTTAAGTAAGTATTTCCTCTGATGTGTCTGTAAAAAAAAAGTGTCTCCCCGCTGCTAGGTCTGCTGGAGGATAATTTCAGGTCTAGGGGCCATTTCAGGAGAAACACCTGAGAAGTACTCGACGCCCTTCGTCATAAAAACCGCCGCCCTGTGGTTTTTTATGATCCACAGCGACGTGATTGAAAACAGAAGTGCGCATGTCATTTGTCTTATACCAATTCCGCAGAAAAGTTTCGGCCGTTTATTGCTGCAGTTAAATTTGTCTGAACAGAGTCGTAGAGGGAGAGACTGAAGGACAAGTCAGGTCAGACAGTTCTGAACTTCTGAAACTGAAAACATCAAGTCTTGGAACTTGAAGATTATTACTGTTGTAGAACAGATACTTCGGCAATAAATAGAGGATTTTTCATTACCCAAAGAACAAGGTATATTCTTAGTCCACAACCTTAAAAAGCTCAGTCTTAACTTTGTCTCTTTACACTTATTTTTTACGTGTTCTTGTGTAATCTCAGCACACTGTGGATGTGGTTCCAATGTAATTACGATCTTACACTTAAGTTTTGATCTTGTCTTCGAAAAATATTGGTCAATGCAGTGGTGGAAAGTAACAAATTATATTTACTCACGATACTGTAATTGAGTACTTTTTGTGAGTAATTTGTAATTTTTTGAGCACTTTCGGGAATATTAAAAATGAAAACCCGGGAAAAACAATATGTGCTAACTGAAAGAAAATTGCGTCCACATGCGCATGGGTTTCTTTTAATGTAGCCTGATAACGTTGGCTAAGAGACAGACTAGCTCCGGTGTGGGCAAAAGTTTCGACTAGCAGGACACACTGGTCAGGAGCAGATAGATGGAGGGCTCGTGTGACCTAAGATAATGCATAAAGGCAAAAATGCTAATCTTTTATCATTTTCTACGCCATCTATTGGGGAATCGTGGACATTGCAGGGAAAATGCAGAAATATAATGATAATGTAAATAAGTTATATCATTTGGAAAAGTTTGGTGGGCTACTTTAGCTTGCATGCCTGCAATGCCTGCTCTAGCCTATCATTGGATGACGAACCAAAAATGGAGGTTGAATATGACCAAGCAAAAACAATGTAGAATTTAAGGAAAATAAAGATCCTTTTACTTACTTGCATTTTTTTTTTTTACTTTCCCCACCAGGGTTAATGGTTACTTAAGTGTTTATAATTCGCTACCCCCAATCAAAACTGTCGGCTTTCTTGGGAGCAGTGATGACTATCGGAAGCACCTGGGGAGCCAGGGAACTGGCGCTTGCTAAACACACACAGACAGCCAAGGGTGGTTTTGAACCTCTGATCCTCTAATAATAGACCCTCTTTCCACTAAACTATTGGCTGCCCCACATCATGTGCTGTTATTATATCACTGCTGTGACTACCCCTGCTTTTACCTGACTGTTGGAGGGGCGTTTGCCTGGTCTATTTGTTTCCTTCCTCTCATTTTCAGGCTTCCGACTTTGTTGGCAGGATATTGTCAGTTTTGGCTTATATGGTGACTTATGTCATTTTTTTTTTTTTTTTTTGAATGTTAGTTTTGAATAAATTATTATTTCTGTATCAATGATTTATTTATTTATTGCTCATGGCTTTACTGCAAAACGGCATGTCTCCTCTTTGTTTCTCACAAACATTTATTGAGGATTAACTCAAAATGGCATATGGTCTGTTGTTGCAACTACACTCGTGCTATAGTGCAGTTGTAACAATAGACCATATGGCATTTTGGGTTGACAGATATCATTTTAACACCTTTCCCCTGCACAAAATACGTTTCAGATTTGTGTTTCAGCTATGCATGACTTTAACACTCCAACTTGAAACACATCACACAAGTTACATTCTGTGTTATGTTGCGATAAGGCCATGTGTAATAATGAGCCCTTTTTGTAATTTTCTAGTCTTAATACAATCGCATGGTCCGAGAAAAACCATCGTAAACCTACGTCTTAAATCATATCTTCCATCAACATTAGTTCTTCTTGGAAATCTGACCTCATGCGCCGTCTCTGCTTTTTATACAAACACAGTTGTAGTCCATTGTAGTACAATATTCAATTTAGTTTGTAAACTGCCCGCTCTCCCGCAGTACAGACAAAAGAAAGAAAAAAAAAA